AATGTTCCAAATGCATGGAAAGAGAAACATTTCCTATGGAAAACACTAAATAGTCAATCAACATGGCAAAACCTGAAGCTGATAAGAGTGATTGGCTATTATCCATATTATATAAACTATTATTGCAACAAAATTGCAGGAAACAGTGCTTTAATGATACTTCAAAAGGACCAGACATGCCCCTAAAGTATGCTATGAGCCGATGACCGAAATTCAACAGATATATTAGAGTGAAAGCTATACTACTTGTCAAAGGTAGAAAGTCTTTCTTAGACCCACTATTTGCCTCAAAATGTGCTGTTATGATCACGGTGATATTAGCCACTCACCCCAAACCTATTTATGCACCAAATAACAAACAAAAATAAATTATGAAAGCATTTGTGCTTTAGGCCTGTATTTATTTCATATATTCCTATAGTATTCAGAAAAAAGAGTAAGGGTAATCCTAATTCAAAAATGTTCCAGATGCAGGAGATTAGGAAATAGGCAGAATAGGAATAGGAAGTCTGTGGAATTTCTGCAGAAATTCCCGTATTCAGGAAGAAATGCTCTTTTGTTGGTAGAAGCCCCATCTATGGGCTGTTCTCAAATATCTGCTAGTGAAGGAATCTCCCAGCAGAACTGCTCTGCTGGCTGCTGGCAGAAGAAAGGGGTGGGGACGAGTGGTAGAAAACGGACAGAGCAAGGGAATAACTGAATTATGCCTCATCCACACCTCCTTCATTTTGGAGAAATGGCTATAATGCCAGCACAAAATTAGGCTAAGGTTAATGTGTGTGTGTTATGTGCCCACAACTCAACTCAGTCTTATAGCAACCTTAGTAGGGTTTCCACTGTATATGAAGAACAAAGAAAGGGTTGTGTGGTTCCCAAGATTACACAAATGTAAGAGTAGGAGATACCTTTTATTGAAGCCTCCTTCATTTTGGAGAAATGGCTATAATGCCAGCACAAAATTAGGCTAAGGTTAATGTGTGTGTGTTATGTGCCCACAACTCAACTCAGTCTTATAGCAACCTTAGTAGGGTTTCCACTGTATATGAAGAACAAAGAAAGGGTTGTGTGGTTCCCAAGATTACACAAATGTAAGAATGGGAGATACCTTTTATTGAACCACTATAAATTAAACAAATTGCAAGTTTTCATAGATGAAATTTCACTTCTTCAGGCTTAGCACAACTCCTTCATTGATAGTGCAGAAAACTGTAGACAAAAGTCCAGAAATTGATGGTGCATTTTATCTACAATTTTTTTCTGCACTATCCAAGGAAGAGTTGTCATAATGGTCCAATAAAAGCTCACCCACAATGTAAATGAGTTACTCAAGTGTCGGCTTTGTCAGTGCCAACCCTCAATGAGTTTCCATGACCAATCAGAGATGTTGACCAAGGTTACCTGACTCCTACTGCAACACTGTCCACTGTACTACACTTGCTCACTAAGGCCTGGATAATTCTAAGTAATTTCCATCATCTCTTGGCTAGGAGGAATTTGCATGACACAGCTTCAGCAAGGCAAATGTCAGTTCAGCTAGCCATCATCCATCTTGGCTTGTTAGGATTATACAGTACTCTAAAATGGCAACCATGGACCAATTATGAAGGGAAAACTCAATGGGATGCATCGAGACTTACTTCTGAGCAAACAAAGGTTTGCAGTGTAAATGCGCATGTCTAAGTGAACATGGTGGAACTGATTCTGAATAAATATTCACAGGGTGGGACGCATAATTATGTCTTAGAAGCCAAACCCTTAAGCCATACATAAATGCTTCAAGTGCAATAATTAGGTAGAGAACTACTGTTTCCTGGCAGCACTCTCATCCTTTATTTGAGGAGAAATTCGAGAGGTTTTCTCTTACTTTATCTTCACATCAAAAAATCCTGCCCTGTTGAAACTGCTTGCCATGCTGGAAACCTGAAAATGGAAAAGGGAGCAACCCTTGAATTGGGTTCATAGTGATCCTAAGTTCTGAATCATGATTCCACCATGGAATTTACTATATGGCCTTAGGCTTGATCAAGGCACTATCTCAGAAGACTGTAACCAGCATAAAATGGGTTGGGATGCATTCCATGCAAGAATGGTGGAATATAAATGGAGTCAGCAAACTAACTAGAAACAAAAGACAGAGACTGACTGGAAAAACAACACAAAGTCTTGTAGCACCTTTAAGACTATCAACCTTTATTTGGCATAAACTTTTGTGGATTACAGCACATTTTTTTTGGATGCTGATTCTACTAAAAAAGCTTAACTTTGTATCTGAGGAAGTGGCCTGTAAGTCATGAATGTTTCCTTCAAATAGAACTTCTTAGTATTAAATTTGCCACAAAATACTAACAAAATAGAACTTATTAGTATTAAATTTGCCACAAAACGTGTACAAAGCCTTAAAAGAGTTCCCCTTTGTACATGTTTGCAAAATCCATTCTCTGGAAATGTAGATATTTTGGAAGGTAAAGGGTAGCTTAAAAAAATCATTTTTTTCTTTGGGCTCATGACTGTAACAATTGGATTAAATTACTAAATAAACAATAGGGATGATCAGATTAACATGGAAACTTGCTGCTGTTTCTAAACAAAATAAGCCCTTGAGTTTATTTTTGATCCTTATGTTGAAGGACTGGTTTCACAAAGCAAGTATCAATTTTATAACATGTTATTTCCTTTCACCTAATGTGTGCCTTCACAAACAGAATACCACTTCCACAATCCTCCAGAGCCAGGAACTGAATCTTGAAATACTACATACATGTTTTAGATATTCAAAGTTTGTTCACATATTTGAATTAAGGCTGCTTGTGACACAGATTTATTTATACAGTTAGCACATCCCATCCCAACTCTGTTAAAGTGAGTAATTGTGGTATAGCGCAAAGAGTGCTGGACTAGGGCTTGGAAGACCTGGGTTCAAATACATGAAACTTTGGGTGATCATCAGTCTCTTAGTAGAGAGGACAAAGTGAAATGACATCACAGGGTTGCTTTGAGGATCAAAGGAAGAGTTTTGCCTACCTAGCAGAACCAACCAACCAACCAACCAACCAACCAACCAACCAACCAACCAACCACCTGACTTAGTACCAAGAAGAAAAGTATAAACTCACAAAGCCACTCTACAAATCAAATTAAACAACAACAAAAATATAAATACAAATTCCATCCATGTAAAATTGAAGAGAAAAATATATTTATTATGTACAAAGAAAGTATTTGTGAACTCTGACATGGACAGTGCCATTTAAACCTGTTTCTCAGCTACGACTTAAGAGATTCAGATCATGGCATGTTTGCTTTGTTCAACGCTATCCAATCTAAATCAGAAGTGGGCACAGGGTACTCCTCCAGAGGTTGTTGGACTAAAACTCCCTCCAGTATAGTCCATGGTGAGAAATGCTAGAAACTGCAGAAACGCCTTCTGACCTAAATAAATAGGTTTTTCAGGGCTGGCCTTAGCATTAGGAGAAGAATGTAGCCGATTTCATGTGTCATGAAAAGGCAGTTTTCGAAAACGTAGTTGTCTGTTAGTTTGTGAATAAATTATTCATAAATTTCAGCATATATCAGGAGGATTAAATAGAGACCAAGGATTCTTAACACATTAAATATATTAATATGGTAGCTTGCTCTGCAGTCTTTTGTATAGCTATAGCCAGAAAATTCTTTTCATTTGCACAGTTCAACTGGAGTATAACTTCCTGAAAAAAAAAACATCAATGTTTCAGGGATAACAATGTAATAATTGGTATAAATTGACAAACAAGCTGATTGCTCTAGCCATTAGCAGGATGTCCGTTAATCTTTACTTTAAATGTTAACTGCCTGTGTTTATAATGCCACTGTCCGTTTAGAAGTTACTTACCAACATAACTGTCACCCTCTTTTCCCAACTTATTTGGTCCACAACCCAGTATCATGTACTGTACAATGTGTACGTATATAAACCTGTGATGCTCCATGTGTCTGAGACAGTGGACCACAATCCACAAAAGCTCATGCTGGAAAGGGTGCCATTTACTTCTACTCTCCAGGTAACAAATATCCTAGGCCAGTTTTGCAGGAAGTGAAGTGATGTCTTCTGTGTTTCATCCCAGGAGATTTTTCACAGTACTCCAAACAAGTGCTGAAGTAAGTTCATTCAGTGGCCTGTAAGCCTTCAAAAGCACTTCATCATGATGGTTATTATACAGTATGCCCTCAAGTCGCTTCTAACTGCTGGCAACCCTAATAAGGATTTCAAGATAGATGAGATATCCCCAGTGAATTCAGCTGCTCAAGTGTGGAGAGTTCTTTTTGAGTCTAATCTAGAGCAACACACTGGGTCTTTATCACGACACAAATCATTAAATGGATTGATGGGGGATTTGTATTGGCTTAGCAGTACAACATCAAACAGCATCATCCTCATCCACAACAGTAACGGCGTCGGAACCACCAGTAGTGGGAATGTCACTTTCAGTGGCGTGGGATATGCTACTCTTCCTCCCCCCCCTCGTCCACCCGGGACCCCTTTATTGCCTCCATGCCACGCCTGAGAGAGTTGTTTAAAACACCAAGCAAGCACGCATCCTGGAGCCAGTAGTGCCTGAGGCCCCGAACCCCTAACTCTCGGATGCTCCTGAGGCCCCAGTTCGGACCTGGACCCGACGCGCCCGCCAAGGCAAACGCGCGGGTGGGCGCACGCGCCCTGGGGCTCCTCCTCCGGCTCGGGCTCAGTTGCGCGGCTGGGCCGGGAGGGGGCAGGACGGGAAGCCGCACGCGCAGAGCTTCGCCGGCTGCCTTTCCGCGGCTGCTACTCCTCGTCGTCGTCGGGCGAGCAGCGGCGGCCAGAGAGCAGCAGAGCCGCGGCGGCCGAGAGGAAGGAAGGAAGGAAGGAAGAAAGGGGGGCGCGCGCAAAAGAGTGCGAGAGCAGCGCAGCCTTCGGGGAGGCTGAAGGGTGCCGGGGAGTTCCTGGGCTTGCTCGGGAGGCGCGCGGTTGCTTTCCCCGGGAGCGCATGGAGCCTTGGAAGCAGTGCGCTCAGTGGCTCATCCAGTGCCGGGTGCTGCCGGTCAACCACCGGGTGACCTGGGACACGGCGCAGGTGTTCGACCTGGCCCAGACCCTCCGCGATGGAGTCCTGCTCTGCCAGCTGCTCAACAACCTGCGCCCTCACGCCATCAACCTCAAGGAGATCAACCTGAGACCTCAGATGTCCCAGGTAGAGAGGGACCGATGGAGGAGGCGCCGGGGCGGCGGGAGCGCCTTCCTTCCGGGTCTCGGCGGGTCTCGTTGTGCTTCGTGCCCCTCTCCCGCCCCCACCCCCACCCCCACGTTATTAATCGCCTCGTTAATGTCTTTGTTCCAAATGCAGGGGTCCTCCGGGGTGCCACTTCTGGGGTTGTGTCCCCTGTTCGGCGCGTTAGCGGGCAGCCCTCGACCGAGGAGGGTTGGAATTGGGCGAGAGTTGCCCGATGCTTTCAGGGGGGTTGTGAAAGATGTGGTTTGTGCCCCTCTGTGTATATGAAGAAAGAAACAAAAGGTAGAGGTCCCTGTGTGGCTCCAGGAAACTGGAAGCAGGAACATTAGTTGTGGATTCATGATCTGCGGGCGGGGGGGGGGGGGAGGGGGAATGAGGCGCCTTTGGACAGAAAGAACAAAACAATAATTTAATATCTCTCTCCTACCCATGCTTGAATGTTTTATGCTGGCCAATGTATTATTTCTTGACGTTGAATCTTGGCCAATGTATTATTTCTCTGCGTTAGTACTTTTTAATGAGAGGTTATGGAGGGATCAGGAGAGAGAATACAAGGATGCTTCAAAAACACGGTTAAGTCTGTGCCATGACTTAATAGGTTTTTTTTTAAAATATTCTTTACTCATACAAAAGTATGTATTTTTTTTCAACCTTGGTTTTTTCTTTATGCCTGTATTTCCTTGGATGAGCACTTTAAAAATGAAAAAGAAAAAGACGAAACATAATGAAAGAGGAACTGTGTCATTTAAGATGAGCCATCTAGGAAGTTGACTGCCTCCATTACTGCTATCTGTAATTACAATGGGGGGGGATAAAAACACACCCCAAAGGGGGAAAAACAGCTGCTGCTGCTGCTGCTGCCGCCTTCTGAAGGGTTCACTGGAAGATTTAAGCATTTATTCACTTTTCTGTGGGTATAGTACTTACAGGGGAACTCAGAACAATGCCAGAACCCCTTGTGTCAGGAAGCTGGCCTCCCAGAGACATCAGACAACAAGGGGAAGTTGGTGCTATTATGCAGAACGGAGTCTTGTGGTTGGTGTGAGCTGTTGCGTTGGATGGAACTGGAAATAAGTTGGCTAATAAGAAATAAAGGGCATTGATTTCAAAGAGGGTGTTGAGTATAGGCTAAATAGGACTTCACAGTATTGGATGGTCTCTGAAAACTAAGGAAGAGGAAGTGACTATTTAAAGCACTTTTCTGAAAACTCCCTCTGTGTGGACAGGGAAAAAAAAGGAAGATAATATTAATTTAGTTGTTTTTATGTTACATTTTAAAAAGGAATAAAATTCTACATACGATGAAGAGATAGATGTCTCTGTTGCTTGTTTTTTTTCAGTTAACATGACAATGATGCTTTTTTGTGCCAGTCCAACTAATTATTTTTAAAAAGCAACCTTGTGGTCCCTGGGAAGGTATTCCCCTTCCGGAGAGGGATATCAGGCCTTTAAAAAAAAGAAAATCAGATTTCTTGATGATTTAAATGAAAAGAATTCATTCTTCAAAATTTAAATTGTGATTTAAATTGCAATTAAAATCAATTTGCATAGCTTAAAAAATCATTGGTTTTTTTAAGCCAGCCTTCCACAGAGCCCAGAGGTTGGAAAAGAGGCACGTTGAAGGTACCTGACATTGGGTGGCATTGGGGGTGGCTATGGATCCACAGCTCTCACAGCTTCATAGTTCCCCTCCAAGTGTGGTGATTGTTGTTGTTTAGTTGTTTAGTCATGTCTGACTTTTTGTGACCCCATGGACCAGAGCGTGCCAGGCGTGGTGATACATTTAGACAAATTTTGGAAGTGATCTGAATGAATTCTGTCTTATTGCTGCAATGGGGGTGGCAGTAGTTTTTTTTCACCTGAAAACTCTCCATGGTGAAGTGAAAAGGAAGCCTTCTTGTTATCTTCTATCCTGACAGTAAGAGCCTGGCAGTCCATAGGATAGATAATTCAGGAGCTCTGATCTTGGACTCTCCCATCACATTGTGTAGAATAGCTGCCTAAGGTTAAAATTCTGTCATATTTTGGGTACGCTTGCATTGACCTCAAAGGTAAATGTGTACAAGAGTTACTTTGAATTCCACTGGAACCATTAGAACAAATTAGCTACACAACTGTTTTGTATTACAGTTGAGTCCGTTGTACAGTCCTAGTTACGTTCTCCAAGACATGAAAATCCTCATTTCAAAAGGCACTTCAAGCAGCAGATGCCATGGAGCACCAAGCCATAGCAACACGCTGGAGGAGAGACCTGTGGTCTGCCAGGCTGTCCATAAACGGGTGCCTTCAGGGCTGGAAGAAGATGCTGGGCTGTTGGCATTTCTGAACTCCCACTCTGGCTAACCTCTGTATGTGGAGTGAGTGGGCAGGAGAGACCTTTTCCTTTGCCCATGTGGAAAACAATTTTAGGCCGGCTGTAATGGGACTTATTTCTGACTAAACTCATAAAGGAAAGCAAGTGTGATGCACTGGACAGAGTGTTGAACTCAGGGGGCCTGGGTTCAAACCCATGTTTGGCAATGGAAGCTCACTGTGGGTGGTAGTACTTGTAGAACTAAGTATCTCACATCCCGTGGAAACCCTGTGAAGGTTGCCATGAGTCTGATGGCACTTAACATAACAAATCATGTGTAGAGCTGCAGTTTTAGTGTAGCTAACTTTAGCTGTTGTTACCTTTCATTTTCACCCACTTCATTTCTGTGGAATTCAGAGAGATCACTCGACTTCAGTTCAATTATTATTCTCTTATCTAAGTTGCAGAACTTACTGTCTTGTCAACATAGAGTTTGGGATGCAATATGGATTACATGTCTTGTATTTACTTGCATGTAAGACTGTATCAGCTCCTTGCTTTTAAGTCAGCACAGTTTAATCATAAGAAAATATATACTGTTTATGTGCGGCTTTTGATCTTTTATATTAGTATTTTTGAGTGCTTTACATACATATATATTTTTAAATTTCGGCACTCTTCTTGTGTAATCAATCAGTATTATTATCAAACTCCTATTTTTGATGGAGCTGGGCTAAGAATGTGGCTGTCCTAAGGCCACGTAATGAGCTTATGATTGAAGTGAGATTTGAACTGGATGTTCACTGGATCATTGCATACACCATTAGTCACTGCACTGTCTCTACATTTGCTTGCTCAAGGAGAGAGAATCTTTGGTCTGAAATATTTTGGACTGACTTTGCTGTATCTTTATTTTTAGTTTATATCCATGGTTTCTGCTGGATTTAAAGAAATCATACTGCTTAAGTTTCAGTATTATGGCCTGCATGAGTTCTCGGTTGATACTCCAGCTGGGTAGTCTTTAGGCCTCCAGGTGTGTTAGAGTGTGTCTCCCACCATCTCTTTAGTCATGTTCATTGAGGCTCACAGGACCTGTAGGCCAAAATTTCTGCATGCTCACTGCTCATTTGTCATTTACTGTTGCAGCCTTAGGGTGTAGCACTACGGCATGCTTAAGCATGTTTATGTAGCGTTTAAATTAATAAGATGTGCCGCCCCTGACCTTATGAAGTGTGTTTAAGTCCTGAGTTGAACTGCATCTTATGCACATGCTTTTAACATGTTCATCCGACCATTTGTACAGCTTGACCCAAGTCTCTGGAAATGTAGCGATAGCAATGGTTGTGATCCAGACCCCTGGACATACAGATAGCAGTTTCAGTTTTGTGCGAAGGACAATCATTTTGCATACATTCATGCACAAGTTCACACAGGGGCTTTCCTTGATGCTTTGAATGGTTCCCTCCTATAGCATAGAGGCAGAGGCCCTTTGGGGGACAGATGTGCATCAGCTGCTGATGGATGTTTGCTGCTGCTTGTAAAATACTATTAGTCATTTGAGGACCTGCTTGCTAGTTTAGCTGGAAAAGACTCTTCTTCAGTAAGGTTTCTGTGAAGGAAAACGTGGCCTCAGAATAAGAGATGTTGGCTGCAGTTTCGTAAGACTGGGTTCTGCAGAGCTCAGTGGAATTTACTTTTCAGTAATTATGCACTGGATTGCACTGCTAGAGTTATGTTTTGTGGCGACTGAACTTGGAGCCTATGGAGAAAAGCTTTAAAAAGTTACACCTTTGAACAATATCTTTCGGAATCACTCAGTCAGCAGGAGAATGGTCATACTCCTGGGAATTTTAAGCTCTGCTTTGAAGAAAGACAAATTTCATTATGATGTTGCCCATACTTGATTCTCTCTTTGTGAGTGCTGGTTGTATGTCCAGGGACCTAGGGGTTTAGGTATGTCTGAACGTCAAAGTGTGGTATGTGATTTATTATTACTGTAGAGTTGAAATGCCTCCTAGAATGCTATTGATAATGCCAAGTTCTGGCTAGGAGACAGTGCCTGTTGCTTTAGACACAGAAACAGTTTCTTGGAGCAGTTGCATATTGATAGACAAAGTAATTTATTGGAAGTTGTCATCTTGGTCACATACTGTTTTTTAAAAGATCATTCCAAAGCCTGATGATCAGCTATTCTAATATGAGGCGTCCAGTAATGCACACACGCGAAAAAAATATTGGTGGCAACTATAAATTGGTAATACACTACATGCTGCTCAGTTCCTTATGCACCACAGATAAACCTTCAACTGAGGTCCAGAAAGCTAAACTGTTTAGAGACAATAGGGAATGTTTTATAGCAAAGCTATCTAAAGGCTTTGCTATAAGCCCTTCAGATTAGAAGTGAGAAAAAAGGACAACTCGTTTTGGCTGCAGCTATGATGACATGTATTTAGGCTGCTAATATCCCTCTGGTTTCAAGGAGATTTCATTGATTTTCATGGGAGATGAAAGCAGCTGAACTCTGTGGGGGCTTGTATGTCACTTCTGTAATTTTATGCTACATCAAGATATTGCCAGGTTTGAATCAAGTTTCCCATTTGAAAAGAAGAAAGAGCTATCCAACAAAACTGGTGAATAAGTGCGACATGTCCCCCAAAACACTGCTTAA